GAAAAAAAAAAAAAAAAAAAAAAAAAAAAAGTTGCTATACATAAATCATGGTAACAATCCCATTCACAGTAGATACACATATACACCCACACGTAGGAATAAACAAAGTAAAAGATCTCAACAATGAAAATTATAAAACACCAATGAAAACACTGAAGGACAGGAATATCTCTCCTGTACATGGATTAGAACTGTTGAAACATCCACTGTACTACCACAGTGATCTACAGATTCAGTGCAATCTCCATCAAATGCCCATGATATTGTTCACAAAAGTAGGGGAAAAAAATGAAAATCCATACAGACTCACAAGAAACCTTTTTAGTAAAAAGAGCACAGCTGCAGGACTCAAAATACTGGATTTCAAGATGTACGACAGAGCCATGGTCACCAAAACAGCCTGGCACTGGCATAAAAACAGACACAGAATAAAATGGAACAGAATTTAAAAAATCCAGAAATAAACTCATGTACTTATAGCTATCTCATTCCAAATATATATATATTGGGGAAAGTACAACCTCTTCAACACATGGTGACGAGACAACTGGATATCTATATGAGTAAGACTGAAACTCAACCCCTAATTTCTCACCCCGAACAAAAATCAGTTCAAACAAATCAAAGAACTTAATGTAAAACCTAAAACTCAAACTACTAAACAGGGAAAACACTTCAAGACACTGGTACAAGGAATGATTTTTTTGGACAGGACTTCAAAAGCATAGGTAACAAAAGCAAAAAGTAACAAATGGAGATATATCAAACAGAATGCTCCTGCACAGCACAAGAATCAACACAGTGAAGAGAGAACTATATATAGACTGGAAGAAATTTACCAGCTATGTGTCTGACAGAATATGTAGAAAACTCAAAAACAAGGGCCAAATGGTGGTACACACATACCTGCAATTCCAACTCTCTGGGAAGTAGGGCAGGAGGATCACAGATTCATACTCAAGGCTAGAGGACCAAGCAGGGTCCTGTCTGAACATTTAAAAGTTATAAAAGGGCTGAGGCTGTAGTTCAGTGAAAAGGTCCTGGGTTCAAACCCTGTGAACTAGAGGGGGGACAAACAATGTAATCCAATTAAAAATGGGCAAATGATCTAAATAAACACTTTCCACAGAGTTAGTCAATAAATATATGAGAACATACTTAAAATCTTGGCCATCAGAGAACTGTCAGTCCATACTTACAAAGCAGTAGCATCTTATCTCAGAATGGGTGCTATAAAAGAAAAATAACTGGATATAGAGGAAAAGGAACCATGTACCTATTGATAGGAATGTAAACTAGTAGAGCCACTGTGGAAAGTAGTATGGAGTTCCCCTAAAAATGGAACTACCAGATGACCCATTTCTCCCATTCTAGGACATATAGCTAAAGAAAATGAAGCTTGAAAATGAAAGATACCTGTATATCCATGTTTAGTGGGGCAATATTCATAAATAGCTAAGATATGGAATCAGCCTATGTGTCCACTGATGAATGGATAAATATGGAGTATTATTAAGCCATAAAGAAAAATGAAATCTCGTCCTTTGCAGCAAAAATAGATGGAACTATAAAACATCATTTTAAACAAAATAAGCCAGACACAGACAAGTATCATATGCTGCCTATCGTGTGTAGAAACTTAAAAACTAAGCCTGAAAATAGGATAGCAAAGACTAGGAACTGGGAAGGGTATTAGGGAGAAGGGAAGTGGGCATAATCAATGCAAAGCATGTTGTATGCATGTATCAAAATGAACCATGAAATCCCAGTAATATGTTAATTTTAAAAGGTAGAAAATAGAAATGCAAAAAATCATATTCTCATCCAAAACAATGAAATTTAGAGTGAATGTAACAGTTTAATATTCTAGTACTTAAATGAGTGATCATTTTCAGCTTTATTTGGATAAATATTAAATGAGAATTGAAAAATCATATTCCCCTTGGAGAAAATTTAGTGAAGTTCAGTTATAAGATCTGTAGTAAGGCCACTGTGCTTGCTCTTGTATGGTGGTCCGCCCTCGCACCATATAGTGTGCCTTTTTTTCCTACTTTGACTTGGCCCAAACTCACTCTGCAGAGCTTTTTTCCTACCTTTAATAAAACTTGACTACCATTAAAAAAAATATTTCCAGTACATTGTTAGAACTATGGATTCTAGAGAACATTACTTAGAAATTTTGGTTTTATTAAGCCCTTTCAATAGCAATCCAATGTCTTAGCTAGAAAATTTAGTAGTAGGAAAAAAACATTTTACTATATATGCACATTTTTTAAAAAGTATTCTTTTACATGTAAATCATTTCATTCTCCAAACTCTGAAAGGTATTTTTTATCCCCATTTAATGAAGTAAACACTATAATCTGCTTATTAAATGTTTTGTAGGTCTTAGTGACTTTTCAGAGAGCTGAGAATTATGCCACGTTTTTGCAAACAGAAGACTTAAGTAGATCTGCTGTTAATCTTAAAGCCTACTACTACTCATCTCACATACATCTGATCTTACTTTCCTTTTCTAGGAAAATATTCCTTATGGTTAATATGTCCAGGCTGGATAATGGGCAGAGGTCTTAGGAAGTAAACCAGACCCACCACCTGTCCTTTCCCCTGTTCAGTGTCACTTGAGGGGAGTATTGTTGGAACACACTTCCACAAAGTTAAAAGCTGTACCCATTACACAAGTGGCTCCCACAGAGTCCCTACTATCCATCAGAGGGCACCTGTCTCAAGACAGACTTGAGTAGTAAGAGCTTCCAAACTCAAGTCCAAAGAAAGTAAGTTATGGAAAAATAATTTATGCAAAGTAATTTATTTTCCTCTATATATTGATCTTGCTATGCTTAACTGGTGAAAATCTGCAATGTTGAGGCAGGAATTACAACTTGTCTGCAGAAACAGTAATGCTGTAGGCAACCTAAGCACAAACACAGAAAAATGCCCTTTCCTCAGGGTGGACACATTCTAACACCAATCCCTGGATTTCAGCCTTTGCTCACTCTTGACACTGGGGGCCTGAAAATGAGTGCTATTGAAGATGGGCAACTCCTGTAACAGCAAGAAAGGTCTCATGTAAAATTCACCTGAGAATGTTGAGTGTTTGCTTTTCTGAGTATAACACCTTATGTGTCTCCACACAGCACCCGAGGAAGGATCATTTACATTCCTGAATGGGGAGGCTGTGGAACACAGTGAGGAGAGTAAGGATCGGACCATCGTGCTGATGGGAGTGTCCTCACAGAAGATTTCTGTTCGGCTTAAAAGGACTGTTGCCCACAAGACCACACAGACCGAATTGCTGCCTTGGCTTGGCAGTGAGGGCCCTTCCAGTCACTTTGTGCTGTCCTCTCCAAGGAAGACAGCCCAGGATACCCTTTATGTACTTCCCAGCCCCACATCACCATGCCCCAGTCCAGTGTTGGTCAGAAAGCGGGCGTTTGTCAAGTGGGAGAATAAAGAATCTCTCATAAAATCAAAAGAAGACCTCCGTCATCTCAGACTCCCAACGTACCAAGAGCTGGAACAGGTAGGTACCTTCCTTTTTTTCAGACTCTCTTAGCAAAGTGGAGCTAAGCAGAGAAGAACATGTGGGCTAAAGATGGAGAAGAGTCAAATCAAGTTGATTACTGGCTGGGTAAACGAAAAAAAAATTAAAAAAACAGAACAGAGGGTGGGATAGAGGAATAACTATCAATTACAGACAGTTGAAGCAATTTTAGAGACAAGAAAGCAAGGATATATTAGTTTTAACATTAACATTCATTTTACAAAGGAGAATGACTGCCTGCCTTTTCCCAAAACAAGGTCAGTACTGTGTGTGGTTATCAGTAGGAACGTAACTCAGTGTTCACATACTTACATCTCCTCATACAACTCCACCTCCCACGCAGCAGAACTGCCCACTAGGCCTCAGGATCCCCACATTGTTCCCAGTCCTGCACCCTCCCCGTCAAAACTCTCAGGTATGGAGTTAGAGAAACATTTGAAGACAAAAGCTACTATTATATGATGTGAAGTTCAATTTTGTGCTTGAAATGAACTTATGAAGAGTCTTGCTTTAAATAATTTTAACACACGCTTTAGGAAAGAAGTCAGAGGATGGTTACACTTGGGTTACATAAAGTCTTTTTTCTTAAAAGGTAAAACTGGCAAAGACAACTTTGAAGAAAAATGAAAGACACACTTAAAAATGAATCATGTAATAGAGAAAGGACTTTAGAGGCATTTTTCAATCCCAGATGTCCTAGCCAAAACTTGACAAATTAAACCAGTACTTAAAATAGAATGTAACACAAAAATATTATGAAGTATAAATATGCATATTATTTTGGTGTACATGTACCTCAAAATCAGCATAGGACAAAAGAAAAAGCAAATAGCTCTTGGATTATA